CAAAATTCCTTTGAACGGACGTCCTTCAAGTGCTTTAGTGAAGATATCCACCAGCTGTTGAGTAATAGAAACATGTTGGGTCTGAATAATTCCAGCCTGTATGTCATCTCGAATGAAATGACAATCAATCTCCACATGCTTCGTTCTCTCATGAAACACAGGATTAGCTGCAATATGAAGCGCAGACTGGTTGTCACAATATAAATCTATTGGACCAGAATGTGCAATACCCATCGTTAACAACACACTTTTTAACCACTTCAACTCCTTCAATGCCAAAACCATAGCTCGATACTCTGCTTCAGTTGAAGAGCATGATACAACATCTTGCTTCTTTGACTTCCATGACACAGGAGAATTTCCCAATTGTATCAACCATCCACTCAAAGATCTCCTCGTGATTGGACATACAGCCCAATCTGAATCACACCAAGCTGTAAGATGAAAATTACAATCAGATTTCAACAAAATTCCCATTCCCGGGCACCCTTTCAAGTAACGAACAACTCTCAATGCAGCAATCCAATGATCTTCTCTTGGCTCATTCATAAATTGAGATAAGATGTGAATTGAGTAGGCAAGATCTGGTCTAGTCGCAGCCAAGTAAATCAACCTTCCAACCAATCTCCGATACTTCTCTGGATCAGTCAAAATCTTTGTCGTTGACCTTCCCAACTGATGATTTTGCTCCATCGGAAACTCTACAGGCTTACTACAAACCAAACCGACATCAGCAATAATATCTAGAGCATATTTTCTCTGTGATAAGTATATACCCTCTGCATTTCTTGCAACTTCCAATCCAAGAAAATATTTCAATTTTCCCAAATCCTTCATATGAAAGCAATTGCTTAAATACGTTTTAAAATTTTGTATCAGCTCAGGAGAGTTTCCTGTCACCACAAGATCATCCACATACACTAGAACGTGCAAGTGGACTTTATCACAAACTAATGAGAAAAGAGAGTAATCAGCCTTACTCTGTGTAAAACCGTACCCCAAAAGTGCCTTCGAAAGTTTTGCGAACCAACATCGCAGAGCTTGTTTCAAACCATACAGCGACTTGCGCAAACGACATACCATACCCTTCTTAGAAGCACCAAAACCCTGAGGTATCCTCATAAAGACCTCTTCATCCAAATCTCCATGAAGAAACGCATTGTGCACATCCATCTGATGTAACTCCCAATTTTTCCCAGCGGCAACTTGAAGAACCAATCGAACTGTGCTCATCTTTGCTATAGGAGCAAATGTATCAGAATAATCAATCCCTTTTTTTTGACAATTGCCACATGCCACGAGTCTCGCCTTATACATTTCAATCGAGCCATCCGCATTATACTTAATTGTATAAACCCATTTACACTCAATCACATGCTTACCTGGTGGTAATTGTTCAATCAACCATGTTTGATTTCGTTCTTGGGCCTCAATCTCGAGTCTCATAGCTTCTCTCCATCGCGGATCCTTCATGGCCTCAGCAAAACTTTTCGGCACAACTCCTTCAGTTATACTACACAGAAATGTCTTGTGTGACACAGAGAACCTTTCACAATTCACATAATTCTCAATACCATAATCATTACTCAACTCCTGACTCACAGTAGAAGTATTCATTGTAAATGTCGTATTGCACACATAGTCGCGTAACTTGACAGAAGATTCTTTATTTCTCATTCCTCGTCCCAAAGTTTCTGTTGATGCAGGCTGTTGCACAGTTTCAGCTTGTGTCACCGATGCATGTTCTGTTACTAAAGCAGGCTGCACAATCTCAGACTGTGTAACCGATGCAAGTTCTGTCACTAAAGCAGGCTTCACAATTTCAAACTGTGTAACCGATGCAGGTTCAGTTTGTGGCGCTGTAATTCCTAAGATATCGCGTATTTCGTTTCCTATAGTCTGTCTTTCTTCTTCTGCAACCTTGTCTGACACAACATGAGTCTGTGTCATTGTATCTCTTGTGAGAGGTTGTATAATTTCCCTTGTCAAGATAGGTTCTATATCGTCAAATCCAGCATTATCATCCACATATAACCTCATTTGATTAGAATTAGAAGGCTCATCCAGCTGTGCATTTCTTAGCTCTAAATATGGGAATCGTTCCTCAATAAAAGTGACATCCCAAGAAACAAAGATCTCATGTGTCTCCAAGTCAAATAAGTTCCATCCCTTCTTTGCATAAGGGTATCCCAAAAATACACATTTTCTGCTTCTACTCGCAAATTTATCTCCATGATGTTTCTGATTGTGAGCATACGCTAAACATCCAAAAACTCGTATCTCACTATAAGCAGGAGCTTTTCCAAAGATGATTTCATAAGGACTCTTACGATTGTGTAACACAGAAGGCGTACGATTGATTAGATACACAGCACTCAAAGCACAATAACTCCAAAGTTCTATTGGTAAATTTGCCTGAAACCTCAACGCTCGTGCGACATTCAATATATGTTGATGTTTTCGCTCCACTCAACCATTTTGTTGAGGAGTTCCCACACACGAAGTTTGATGAATTATCCCTGATGTACGAAAATATTCCTTCATACCCATGAATTCACTACCATCATCACTTCGCATGATCTTCACATGTTTCTCAAACTGACGCTGAATGAGAGCAAAGAAATCTACCATTGTTTTCTGAACTTGTGTTTTATCAGCAAGAAGAAAAACCCACACAGCTCTAGAATAATCATCCAAGTTAAAAAATAAGAGGATCCACACACGCTCTGTGTTCGATATGACCCCCACAAATCACAATGAATCATCTCAAAGCATTCTTTGCTTTTCTCTGTACTCACAGGAAATACATTCCGACACTGCTTTGCTCGGAAACAGACATCGCAATCAGAAACACTAACACTCTTTTGATCCACTTCTGGCAATCTCCTAATAACCTTTTCAGAAGCATGTCCCATCCTTTTATGCCAAAGTTCCAAAGACCCCAACTTACTGACCTTCGTCACATTCATGGTCTTCTGAATACCTTGAAGAAAATACAATCCATCTTTTCTTTCACCCACTGCAATCAGAATTTGCAAAGCAAGTTCCTGTATCCGACACATTTGCTTGGAGAACAACACAATGCAATTCATTGCATCAATAATCTGTGACACAGAGATAAGATTGCACTTGAGTTCCTTGACAAAAAGCACATGTGTCAAAGTTAACTTCTCCGTCAATGCCACACTTCCTTCTCTATCAGCAACCACAACATTTCCATTAGGCAGACCCACTAAACATGATGAGACTTTATGCACATCAAACATACCACTTAACGTACCCGTCATATGGTGCGACGCACCACTATCAATAATCCACTCATCTGTATAGGTGTTATCACTCACACGATTTGCTATCTCTAATCTCGAATCAAACCATCGAACAAGCTTATGCCATTGATCTTTCTTGAGCCCTGTCACAGCCTGTGGATCAACCTGTGACGCCTCCGTGTGTGACACACGTTTCATAGGTTTTCCATACTTTTCCAGCCACCAATCTGGATATCCATATATCTGATAACATGATCTCACATCATGACCATACTTCGAACAATAAGAACACTTAATTCCTCGACTCTGAAATCTCATATTTCTGAAAAAAAAACAGAGAAATTCCCAAGGTTTCTTCACCAAATAAAGAAATCCCAAGCACTTATGGCTCTACAGAAATCCCGAACCTCGTCGGTCCGAGTTCACCAAAAACAAAAGAGCAAGACCTCGTTGGTTTGCTTTTCCAATAAACCACAACTTATAAATAAGAATTTAAATCAAGAGCTAGACCAAAACTTTATGTAGTCTTAGGCTCTGATTCAAGAGCTAGACCAAAACTTTATGTAGTCTTAGGCTCTGATACCATGTCAAAGTAATTTGCGGAAGTCATTTATTTATCAGCCTAAAGACACATATATATACATGTACATTAATCAACCTTGAGTTAAAAACTAGCAATGTAGGATAAATTACTCTAATAATTCTAATAACTAACTATACAAGGCCCAATAAACCTAATATCTCCTAATAGATTCTTAAGGCATTCGATGTCTTGTTGCGATTGTAAATCCCACCACACACATACGTCCTCGAACCCACCGTGACAAAGCTTACACCGTAAGGCATACCGGGAAGCGAAGGGATAAGGTTCAAGCAGCGTTTGCCGTTGGCTTTACGGAGGAGAATATACAAACGTTCATCGCATGTTTCTGTGTTAAAGAGGACAACATAGAGAAAGTGTTCGGTGCAGCCCAACAAGGATCGTGTAGCGGGTAGCTCATCGGACGCAACAAGTGCTCGGAAGTGCTTAGAATATTTTTGTTCAAAACCAGTCCTTTGTTTGTCATATGTTTTTACATTGATAGGTTAAGTTAAGACTTCACAATTATCAAACCTAAGTCCAGTGTATCAGTAATGATGATCACATGAACCATCACCGCATTTTAGAAAAAAGTAAATCTCTCAAAAGAACTGAGACAAAGGGAAATATACTGACTATAAAAGAATAATCGGAGCAAACACTCGCATCAACAAAGAGCTCATATTTCAGGGTGTAATGTTATATGAGCTCTGACTCGTATTTTAAAACTAGAGTTCATGTAAATCTTTTCACTCTCTAAGTCAAAACTAGGGTGTAATGTAACACTTTATACTTTTTAAAAAAGAAAAAAAATCAAACCAAATTCCTAGATCGATCTATAGAATGCAGTCAATGCACAACTCCTTTTTGCACGACCATGGTATACCGTCTTGTGCATGTAGATTTTCAATTCGATTAGGGTTTGATTTTTTGTTTTAAACTTTTTAGGAATACAGATCCAATTTGTAACCGAATTATGTTCAAGTCTACTTCAGTTTGGTTTGAAAATGCTCACCAATTCAACTATTGTCATTTACATCAACAAAACCAGTGAAACGAGATTAGCATAATGAAAAGAAAACTTATTCAGGATTTCGGACAAATATATTTGAAAGAGAAAACAAACGCAAGCCTTAAAAAGAGTTCCTGCATCAAACCATAACAGCTAGAGATTTCCAAAAGCGAAGATTCCCAGACATGAGATAGTCACACCACTCAACTTTACCCCAAATCTCTCCTTCTTGACGTCTTTCCAGCGAAATCTCAGCACACCAAATCTCTTCTCGTCTACACCAAAACAAAGCCAGTCTCCTCCCATAACTCACAATCTCTGGCCACAACGAATGTGTCATCTCAGCTGACAAATTTTCCAAACCATTCACTACTCCCCAACACTTTTTCTTTTGATCATACGCTTTTAACTTGTTCTTGGCACAATTATCATCATAGTAATACAATACGTCATCAACGACACACGAATTCTTCAACTTGTTAGAAAGATTCATCATCTCGTCCCTTTTCCAACTATTTTCCAATGGCATGTAAACAAAGCTCATCTTAGCATTTCTCGTGTCACCTAAATTGTCTGGCATTATTTTTCTATGCTCCCACATTTGTGTTTCTGTATTGAACACCACCATCACCTTCTTCGATTCAAAAATTCCAGTTACATAGATTCTCCCGTCAATGATGTTAGCGATTGTATCAGACATGGGCACAGGCATGCTGGGGAGAGTTTGCACTGTGTGAGATCTACAATCGATGCTTAACGCAATATCCTTGGGGTCAAACCCACCAAACACATATATCCTCGAGCCCACCACGACGAAGCTTCCACGGTAACGCATATGGGGAAGCGAAGAGATAGGGACCAAGTGGTGATTGACGTTGGCTTTCCGGCAGAGAATATACAAACGGTAATCCCAGGTTTCTCCGTTCCAGAGGATAACATAGAGACAGTGTTCGGTGCAGCCCAACAAGGATCGGCTTGCGTAGAGCTCACGAGATGCAATGAGTGATCGGAAATGTTTTGAGACGAGGGAGAGTGTTAAATAGTCGCATCTCCGAACACGCGCTAAGATGTCAATGATGATGTCTTCAGGAAGTAATGTAACCAGGGACAACGATTGCTTCTTCTTTGCCCTAATTTTTAAAGACATGACGCAGAACCCTAATTGTAGGCTCAAATCAACAATCACCGAGACAGAGAGATCTGACAAGATTTCTCTGAATTTAAAACGAGAATAATTCAGGATGATGCCTAGGTTCATCTAAAAGAAGATCGAAGAAGATCCCGAGAGAAAGAGAGAAGACAGGTCCGTCTAACAGAAGACCGAAGAAGAACGAGGACGCGACCTTCTTTTCCTATTTATTTTTTTGTTTTTCATAGATTTTATGTTTACCTTTTCCTTTTTTTTTCTTAGCCTTTTTCCTTTTTTTTTTCTATTTTATAATTATTTTGTCTTTATATTATCATAAAAAAAGAGAATTTTGGCCCAAAAAAGAGAAATCCCCTATCACTTTTGGATCTAGGTTAAAACTTAAAAGAACCAAATAAACAGCAGGTGGCTATATGGATAAAGTTCTCGTATATTTGAAATATTTGAAACTTCTTAAACAATCCTCTTAAAAAAAAAAAAAAAAGGCAAAATATTCTCCTATATAAAGTTGGCCAAAAAATTTTAATGGACAATATTTTATGGATGGAGATTTGTTAGAAGCAAGAATTATTATCAAAGGATGGGATTTGCTCGCCAAAGGTCTTCGACTCAAAATCGGTGATGGACAATCAATAAATCTGGCAACAGACGCATGGATACCCACTCTTAAAATATCTAATTCGAATATACATCCTATGTTTTGGTAGTGATAATAAATCTTGGTGTTTCACATAAATCTCCTTACTTTATCTTTTAAAAATAACAACAAAAGAGGCTGGCAAGTGGTGCCACTTTTTCTTAACATCTCTCAAAACCTAGAAACTTTAGTCATTAAGGTAAATATCAATTTCGTTCTGATCAATAACTGACAATTCTTTTCGTTTGCTATTTACATGAACAGGATTTTGTGTACAAAGTTATAAATAGATGCAGTCAGTGGCGAAGTTAGCCAAAAAGTTTAGAGGGGTCAACTTTAATTTATAATGTATTTTAAACAAAATTTACATGGGTCATTAAGCTAAACTTTTAACATTTTACTTATTTTTTCTAGAAAAAATACAAATATATATAAACTTTTTTTTTATTTCATATGGGTCAATTGACCCTCCTCCATCCTAGCTGCCTCCGCCACTGGATGCAGGGATGTATGTATTTGCATCCCTCAGAATAAGATCAAGAAAATGAGAAAGATAGGGAAGGATCTAGAATTCAAAGGTAAGAACACGTAAAGATTAAAGAAAATAACTCTTCTTTATTAATGCTTTAGAAACTCTCTAAAAACTTAAGCTCCTCTAAAACTCATAAGTGAAACCACAATCTGGTAACTTCTTATATAGTAGATGGAATAGATAACTCATAATTCCAATAGAAACATGAATTTCCTTATTCTAGATAACTCCTAAGTATGTTTAGATAACTCCTAAACATATTCATAATCCTAAAAGGAAATATCTAACTTGATCACCAAGTTAACTTCAAGTTTATCCAACAATCTCCCCTTTAAGCTTGAAGTCATCTTTCCTCAAAACTTGAACACCAATGAGATCTCTCATCTCTTTAAACTTGATCCTCCCTAAAGCTTTGGTTAAAATGTCAGCTCTTTGCTCATTGCTAGGAACATGTTCAACCTCAACTTGTCCATTCTCTACACATTCTCTTATAAAATGAAATCTTCTATGGATATGCTTACTTCGGCCATGGAAGACAGGATTTTTGGTTAGTGCTATCGCGGACTGATTGTCAATACGAATAACAACCTTCTCACATGCCAAACCAGTGACCTCACTAAGCAAGTCTTGTAACCAAATAGCTTGTCTTGCTGCTTCAGTTCCAGCCATGAACTCGGCTTCACAGGAAGACAATGATATGATGTCTTGTTTCTGTGAGCACCACGAAATTGGACTCTTCCCAAGATAAAAAAAAAACATGTCCAGCCGTGCTTCTACCATCATCAGGGTCAACATTATGACTACTATCGCTATAGCCTAATAGTCTCAGTATCTTTGTACCTGAACATTCAAACTTCAAACCAAGATCGGTAGTTCCTTTCAAGTACCTTAGACATTGCTTCATCGCTGCTCCATGAGATTCTCTTGGGCTCTGCATATATCTACTTAGAACTCCTACACAGAAAGACAAGTCAGGTCTTGTGTGTAGTAAGTAGGGAAGGCAGCCAACGTTTTTTCTATACTTTGTAGCATCAATCTCCTTTTCCTCTTCTGACTTCGACAATTTCAGACCAACTTCCATCGGTGTATGAGTTAAATTGCAATCCGCCATTCCTGCTTCCTCCAGAATTTTGGACGCATAACTCTTCTGAGTCAAAGTTATTCCTCCTTTGTATTGATGAAATTCGATTTCAAGGTAGTATGTGAGTCTTCCAAGATCACTCATATCAAATTTAGAAGCCATATCTTTCTTAAATTCATCAATGACTTTTCTATTTGTTCCTGTGACAAGTAGATCATCGACATACACTGCCACAATGAGGATGTGTTCGTTTATTCTCTTTCGATACACCGATGATTCTTTAGAGCACCTCTCGAATCTCAGCTCTTGAAGAATTTGATTTAATTTGTTATTCCATGCCCTTGGAGCCTGAGGCAAACCATACAAAGCTTTACTAAGTCTGTAGACTTTGTCTTTGTTTCCTTTTTCTTCAAAGCCTTCCGGTTGTGTTACAAAGACAATCTCCTTGAACTCACCATGTAGAAAGGCTGTCTTACTTAACATCGAGATGATGTATTTCCCACTCTTTTGCTGCTGCAAGACTAATGAGGAGCCGAGCTGTCTCTATCCGAGCAACAGGTGCAAAAACTTCTTCAAAATCAACACCATATCTTTGCACATACCCCTTTGCAACAAGGCGTGCCTTGTGTTTGTTGATCGACCCATCATAATTTCTTTTAAGCTTAAACACCCATTTAAGCCTAATTGCTTTTGCTCCAGGTGGTAAGCTTACAAGATCCCACGTTCTGTTTTTCTTAATCGAGCAGATTTCATCTTCACAAGCCCTCATCCATTCTCTCGAATCCTTTGCTTCTTGGAAGGTACTCGGTTCATCGTTCAGGCATAGCAATAATCTTTCCCCTTCCTTTTCTTCTAAGAGGACATAGTTTTCTTCAAGATATCTTGGTTTAACTGATGGTCTTGAAGATCTTCTCAAAAACGGTGGTGATTGTTGAGTAGGATCATCGAGGGCCTCTGCTTCTGTTTCTTGTTCATACGAATTTATGAACTCATCATCTTCTCTTTCGCTTACTGTTTCTGAATGCTCTTGTTCCTGCTTTGTTTCATCATCGGCTTTCTTGTTTGATTCTTGAATCCCATGGTTTCCAAATTCTCCAAGTATGACTTTGAAACCTTCGTTTTGTTCTGAACATCTCTTGTTCTAGTTCCATCCTTTTGACTCATCGAATACTACGTCTTGGCTTACTAGTACTGTGCGACTTCGTGGATCTAAAAGGCGATAAGCCTTAGATCCTGTTTCAGTGCCAAGATAAACGAGCAAACGCGATCGATCATCTAATTTCTTCAGGTGAGGACCCTCCATCTTAGCGAAACATATATATGCATCCGAAAATCCGAAGATGATCGATGTTTGGCTTCCTTCCTCATAGACTTCATATGGGGTTCTATCTTTGACAGCTCTTGTAGCTACTCTGTTTAAGAGATAGGTCGAGTGTCTTATAGCTTCTCCCCACAGGTAATTCGGTACTTGCATGTGTTTCATTATGCTTCTTGCCATCTCCATCATTGTTCTGTTACGTCTTTCAACCACTCCGTTTTGTTGAGGGGTGTATGGTGCTGTGAGATGCCTTTTTATGCCGGTGTTATCGCAGAAAGAGTTAAACTCTTGAGACACAAATTCACCTCCCCTTTCTGTTCTAAAGATCTGCATATTTTCTCCTGATTCCTGCTCCACTAGGATTTTGAATCTTTTAAACTTATCAAAGGCATCGCTCTTTTCTCTCAAAAGAACGGTCCACATATATCTTGAGTGATCGTCAATGAGTACAAAGATGTACTTGTTTCCTCCTGCCGTACTCGGCGTTATGGGTCCGCATAAATCACTGTGTACCAGTTCGAGTTTCCTACTTGCTCGATATGTGGTGGCTTGAGGAAAAGCTTTCCTTGCCTGTTTCCCAAGTAAGCACGAGCTACAAACTTCTTTCTCTATGTGTACTTGCGGAATTCCTTCTACAAGTTGCCATTGTATCATGTTCTTGATATTGGCGATATTAACATGCCCTAGTCTAGCATGCCATCTGCTTGAGTCACTCATATTTATCATAACTTCTTCATACATTGCATTCTCTCTCCTTTTTCACTCTCATTTTCGCATACATATAGAACCTTTTGAGTAGACTATACTAACTCTACTTACTTCACTCACCTTACCCTGACACTAAGCTAATCAGACATTTAGCCACACTACTTTTAGTAGACCTTAACTAATCATCTTAGGGACTCTAACTTACTCACTATTTCAGCTACTTGTTTCTACTAAACTTAGACTTATTATTACACACAACCGATATTTCTTATTGGGCTAAGACACAATTAAAGCCCATCTTCTTCTTACACGAGGCCCATCATAGATTCACAGTTGACTTTTCTCTCAGGTTGACTTTCTGTGCTTCTTCTTCTTCTTCGACATTTCTTTCTTCTTCTTCTTAGCTCGTCATCATCATCTTAAGCTTCTTTTCTTCTTTTCCTTTTGCAGGGTCACTCAAAGGGTCATCTCTCAACAATTTCCTCTTATCTTTTGTAATTTTTTTATTTTGTAATTCTTTTCTCTATTTTATTTTTCTTTAAAGAAAAATGAGAATTTTGGGAACAACAAAAAAAGGAAAATTCCTTCTCTTTTGGATCTCGGGTCAAAGAACCAAATATAAAGCATGTGGATAAGTTTCTCATTTATAGGAAATATTTGGAACTTCTAGAAAAATTCTCCACAAAAAAAAAAAAGACAGAGTATAAGAAACAATATCTTGGATTGGATGGAAATGCATGGCTTATCTAAAACAAAACAAAGGAGGTTTAGGATTTCGAAATTCAATTAGGTTCGATCAAGCGTTTCTTGTAAAACAAGCATAGAGAATCATCAAACATTCGGACACTCTCCTAACAGAAGTAATGTGAACTAGTACAATATTTTCCGAATGGAGATTTGTACACCAAGGCCCTGCAATTTTCTCAGTGAATGAGTTGTAAGAACAGAGGTTTCTTCGTAACTGAGTAAACTTATAGCGGCCGATGAAAGAAGTATTGAGACTCGGATCAAAAACTTGTGCTTGGTGGGACCAAATAAACGGAAGTTGTCTTTTTTAATTAATCACCGGAGCGACAGTGATAGAGCTGTTCTTTTGTGAAGTCGACTGTACATTTTAGTCTCAAAATCACCAACTCTATTATATTGCTATTCTCTTTCGATACATGCATGCAGGGCTCGGTATATCCCTTTGTTGAGTTTGACGAACCAATGTAATTTGAATTGGATTTACGAAGAATAGAAACCTGAAATGTTATCGTTGCTTTAAAATGTGATTTTGATGAAGAGCACGTCACCTAGAAACTTGAATCACAAGAAAATGTGTTTATATATCCATAGTCTTCCCTGAATAGCATTTGAGATCAAAAAAATTGACTGCAAGACGCATTGAATGAATAATATTTGTTAGAAACATGTTCAAGCTTCTTCAGTTCATCGACTTCAGAACTGCATAGAAATATCATAGGTTTGATTTTCACGTTAAAAAGACACATATGTTCTTCTTGTGTTTAGTGGAGATTGTTAGTCGTAATTGAGTTAGTGTCAAAGAGTCGTACCTTATTTTATCTAGAGTCGTGTCTTGTCAAAAGTAGTTTTCGTTATGTTGAAGAGTTACAAGTAGAAAAGACACAACTATTTGTTAAATCGTGTCTGTTGTATTGTGTCTGTTGTGTAACTATTTAAAGTGATGTAACCGTGATGTAAAAACAAGATTTCTCATTCAATAAAGAGTCAGTTCCTGTTCTTACTTCGTACTATGTTTTTATATCAAATTCTGTGTAGAAAACAGAGTGTTTTATTAGAATATATTTCTGATAATCAGAAAGTTCTTGTGTTTATTCAAAAGAAGCACAAGTTTCTAACATGGTATCAGAGCTTTATTGATCTGAGGGCCAAAAATAGCACAATTAAGAGAGAATTCTGCAAGAGGAACAATCGCACAAGTAACTGCACAAAGATCAAGCAGAAGCGGCGATGGAAGCAACATCGCAACAAGTGATTCCCATTTTTGATGGGAACAATTACGACTTCTGGCGTATTAAGATGACAACCATCTTAAAGACCAGAAAGTTATGGACGGTGGTGGAAAACGGAGTTCCGACCAAACCGACGCAAACGGAGGAGACACCGGAAGTGCGCCAATTGAAAACAGAGTGGGAGGAAGCATCAACAAACGATTTGATGGCACTGCAAATTCTACAAACTGCAGTTTCAGATCAGATCTTCTCTTGCATAACACCAGCACAAACATCAAAGGAAGCTTGGGATTCTCTGCAAACCGAATTTCAAGGATCACCACAAGTGAGGATGATAAAACTTCAATCTCTTAGAAGGGAGTATGAGAATTTGAAGATGAATGAAAGTGACAATATCAACACTTTTACGACAAAGTTGATTGAGATGGGAAATCAACTTAGAGTTCATGGAGAAGAGAAATCAGATTATCAAATAGTCCAAAAGATTCTGATTTCACTACCCGAAAGGTTTGATAGCATTGTAGCGGTGCTGGAACAAAGCAAAGATTTAACTGTGCTATCCGTTACAGAATTGATAGGCACGTTGAAAGCACACGAGAAGCGTGTATCTCTTCGAGACGAACGATCAACGGAAGGGGCGTTTAATGTTCGTTCAAGAGGAGAAAAATCTGGGTTCAAACCAGAGAACAACAAAAGCCGTGGGTATATTTTATCAAGTACAAGTCTGAAGCTTTCTCAATGTTCAAAAAGTTCAAAGCCTTGGTGGAGACTCAATCGGGATGTCGTATTAAGAAGTTACGATCAGATGGTGGTGGTGAATTTACTTCACATGAATTCATCAAATTTTGTCAAGAATGTGGAATCGAGAGACAAGTGACGGTGCCGTATTCGCCTCAGCAAAACGGTATTGCGGAACGTAAAAATCGATCGCTTGTGGAGATGGCGAGAACCATGATTACAGATCAAGGATTACCACATAAACTATGGGCAGAGGCGGTGTATACGTCAGCATATTTGCAAAATCGTTTACCAACAAAAGCCATCAAAGATGACATCACACCTATTGAAAAATGGAGTGGGCATAAACCGGCGGTTGGACACTTGAAGATATTTGGAAGTTTATGCCTTGTTCATGTACCCGATGAGAAGAGAAGCAAATTAGACGTGAAGGCCAAACGTGGAATTTTCATTGGTTATAGTAACCAATCAAAAGGCTACAGAGTGCTCATTTTAGAAAATGAAAAGGTGGAGATATCAAGAGACGTGGCATTTGAAGAAGGAAAGAAGTGGAATTGGGAAAGACAAGAAGAAGTCAAAAGTAATTTTGTCTTGCCCATAAATGATCAAGAGCCACAAACGGAGAAAGTTCAAGGAATTTCCAGCCTTATTAATTTTCAACTCAGTGATGGAGAAAACAATGAAGAAAAAGGAGAGACTTCGGAGCCACCAAGGAAATATAAGTCAATGACTGAGATTATGCAAAAAGCACCAAGGGTGGAGTTTGTGAAAACGGCACAAACACATGAAGCTTGTTTTCTGGTGTCGGAGGAACCACAATCATATGATGAAGCTTCTGAGATTAAGGAATGGAGAGAAGCCATAGATGAAGAAATTAAGATGATAGAGAAGAACAAGACTTGGTATCTTGTAGAAAAACCAGAGAAGAAAAATATCATTGGCGTGAAGTGGATATATCGCATCAAGACAGATGCAAATGGAAATCCAACCAAGTACAAAGCAAGGTTAGTTGCAAAAGGGTTCTCTCAAGAATATGGTGTTGATTATCTTGAAACGTTTGCTCCCGTTTCAAGACATGACACAATTCGAGCCGTTCTTGCGTTCGCTGCACAAATGAAGTGGAAACTTTATCAAATGGACGTAAAGTCGGCATTTCTCAACGGAGAACTTGAAGAGGAGATCTATGTTGCACAGCCACCTGAATTCATAGTTGAAGGTGAAGAAAACAAAGTTTTGAGGCTGAAAAAAGCTGTTATACGGCTTAAAGCAAGCCCCTAGGGCTTGGTATGGGAGAATTGATTCATACTTTCTCCAACATGGATTTCAAAGGAGTATGAATGATGCGGCACTATACGTGATGAGAAAAACAAAGAGATTATGATCGTGAGTTTGTACGTAGACGACATCATCATCACCGGTAACAACACTCAGCTCATTGAAAAATTCAAGGAAGACATGAAGTTGGAGTTTGAGATGACAGATTTGGGGTTGCTGAATTACTTTCTTGGAATGGAAGTAATTCAAGATGATCATGGGATTTTTCTTTCACAAGAAAAATATGCTTGCAAGCTTCTTGAGAAGTTTGGTATGAAAAATTGCAAGAGTGTGAGCACTCCACTTACACCACACGGCAATAACCATGAGAATGATGAAGAATATGATGAAGCGACAAAGTACCGCAGTATCATTGGTGGCTTGCTTTATCTGTGTGCATCAAGGCCAGATTTAATGTTTGCAAGTTCTTATCTCTCACGTTACATGGCTGCACCTCTTACAAAGCACTATGAAGAAGCCAAGAGAGTTTTAAGATATGTCAAAGGTACATCTCATTTTGGAGTTCAGTTTACAAGCGTCAACAATCCGGAGTTATACGGTTACTCAGATAGCGACTGGGGAGGCTCAAATGAAGACAAAAAGAGCACATCTGAGTATGTTTTCACTCTTGGATCTGCAGTATTTTGTTGGCAATCAAGCAAGCAACAAACAGTGGCTCAATCAACTGCGGAAGCGGAGTATATCGCAGTGTGTGCAGCAGCAAATCAAGATATTTGGTTACAAAGGCTTTTGGGAGAAATTGGCTTAGATTCTCAAGATGGTGTTTTAATTTTCTGCGACAACAAGTCTGCAATTGTAATTGGAAGAAATCCAGTGCAACACCGAAGAACTAAACACATTGAGATCAAGTATCATTTTGTGAGAGAGGCAGAACAAAAAGGTCTTATTCAACTCAAGTATTGTGAAGGAGAAGTTCAACTTGCAGACCTCCTTACGAAAGGACTTGGCGTCTCAAGGTTTGAAGAGCTAGAAAACTTGGAGTGAGACCGAAACTCAATTAAGGGGGAGTGTTAGTCGTAATTGAGTTAGTGTCAAGAGTCGTACCTTATTTTATCTAGAGTCGTGTCTTGTCAAAAGTAGTTTTCGTTATGTTGAAGAGTTACAAGTAGAAAAGACACAACTCTTTGTTAAATCGTGTCTGTTGTATTGTGTCTGTTGTGTAACTATTTAAAGTGATGTAACCGTGATGTAAAAACAAGATTTCTCATTCAATAAAGAATCAGTTTCTGTTCTTACTTCGCATTCTGTTTTTATATCAAATTCTGTGTAGAAAACAGAGTGTTTTATCAGAATATATTTCTGATAATCAGAAAGTTCTTGTGTTTATTCAAAAGAAGCACAAGTTTCTAACAGAGATACATACCTGTTTATTAGAATAAGAATGCATATATTCTTCTACATATGTATATTAGGAATCTGATTTATCAGCATATATTCTCATCATTGTAATAAGACCAATCACCTATTGGAGTTAACTCAATCAAACACTGCTAGCATTTTCTGCATTCTTCCTACCAATTTTACTTTTTGGAGGAGATGGATCAAAACAGAGACAGCGAAAATCAATCACAGAGAGTTGATGGTTGAACAAACTGAAACAGATAACCAGATTGAGATTTCTATAGAGTTGACCAAGTCATTTTTTAACTACTTTGTCGTTCAAAATAAACTAAATACTTTTTCCTCAAATTAAATCTATTCTCATTTACATAAAACGAAATCAGCAAAAAAAGATTTAATTAGGATAATGAAATAACAGAACACAAGTTATGTGAAGGAGAAGATAATTCATCAATCAAACCATTACAGCTAGAGATTTTGCAAAACTAAAATTCCCAGTCAAAACATGATCACACCACTCAACTTTACTCCAAACCTCTCCTCTTTGATGTCTTTCCAACGGAATCTCCGCACACCAAATCTCTCTTGGTTTATTCCTGAATACTTTAGAAGAAAACAAAATCAGTTTCCCATATCATGAATATGTCGTATCAGGCAAAGACTCTTCCAAACCTTTCACAACTCTCCAACACTTTTGCTTTGGATCATACGCTCTTATCTCGTTCTCGTCCATATCGTGGTAGTACAATACATCATCAACAACACACGCCTCCCTCCACTTCTTAGAATTCAGAATCTCGTCTATCTCCCATTTACTTTCCTTTGGCTCGTAAACAAAGCTGTTATGAGAATCACCCGTGTACAGCTTATGGGCCATCACCACACAACCAGGCCACGTGTCACCTAGCTCAATGTCTATCTTTATCATCTCAGACTCCCACATTTGTGTTTCTGAAATTTTGCCTTACTTCGAGAGACTGACGTGCCTGTGTATCATGGAAGAAAGTTTTGTTTCTGTCTATAATTTTGTATCTGTATTAAATAATTTATAGTCATTAGAAAATTGGTATAGAGAGTATAGACAGCAGTGGATATATATTAAATCAGACGTAAGTCTTAACCTTATATATTATTTTGTGTGATTGTTGTAGACAGCTCATGTAAATAGGAGTTCGTAAGAGTTATCCAACTCATCATATATAAATTCCTTATCTTTTCTCCACGCTCCTCACGAGGATTTTTTTTTTTTCTCATTTTCGTCCATATTCTTCTTACTTGCTAGACAAATAATCCTTAACTCTTAGTATTTTTTCCATCTTTTTCACAAATGGAAGGAATGATATACTAATGAGAAGCTGATAAATAAGATTGCATCACTTTCGTAAGACATTATCAGCTTCTGCAAGTTTTGAGAGATTTGTTTGGTTGGTTTCTTTTATTTTTCGTTCTTGTAAATCAAAGCATTCCACTTTTTTCTATTAATAAAATTCACATTATATCAAAAAAAAAAACAGACTGAAACAGAGAACCAAATCAAGAATTCTAGGGTAAAATCTATAACATTCTTAACTACTTTTTTCCAAAAAAAAAAAAAAAGTTCCTCAAATCAGCTATCTTCAATTACATATACGAAATCTTCTGATTACGGATAATAAAAAAAAACAGAACACAAGTTATGTGAAGGAGAAGAGAGTTCATGCTTCAAACCATTACAGCTAGAGGTTTCGAAAAACCAAAATTCCGAGAAATAAAAACATGATCACACCACTCAACTTTACCCCAAATTCCTCCTCCTTGACGTCTTTCCAGCGAAATCTCCGCATACCAAATCTCAAATGTTTTTTCTTCATCATCTATATCATTATCGAGAAACAAAGCCAGTTTCCCACCGTAACACACAATTTCTGAAGACCATGAATCTGTCGTCTCAGGCAAAGACTCTTCCAAACCTTTCACCACTCTCCAACACCTTTGCTTTGGATCATAAGCTCTTATCTCCTTCTCGACCCCATCGTAGTAGTACAATACGTCATCAACTACACACGCATACATCCACTTCTTAGAATTCAACATCTCGTCCCTTTCCCATTTACTCTTCTTTGGCTCGTAAACAAAGCTGTAATAATAATCCCTCATGTACATCTTGTCAGCTATCACCACAGAACCAAACCACGTGTTACCTAGCTCAATCTCTGGGTTTATAATCTCAGGCTCCCACATTTGTGTTCCTGTATTAAACACCATCACCATCTTCTTCGAGGAAGTATCCAAATGTCCTATTAGGTAGATTCTCCCGTCGATGATGCCACTGATTATACAAGACATTGGCACAGGCATGCTGGGGAGGGGTTGTGCCGTGGGAGATCTGCAGTCGATGCTTACCGAACTTGATGTCTCAAACCCACCAAACACGTATATCCTTGATCCCACCGTGACAAAGCTTGCACCCCAAGGAATATGGGGAAGCGAAGAGATAAGGACCAAGCAACGTTTGCCGTTCGCTTTCCGGTGAAGAATATACAAACGGTATTCCATGGTTTCTGTGTTAAAGAGGGCAGCGTAGAGACAGTGTTCGGTGCAGCCTAACGAGGATCGTCTCGCGTATAGCTCAGGGGATGCAGTGAGTGATCGAAAGTGCTTTGAAACGAGGGACAGTTTTGGATATTCGCATCTCGGAACACGCGCTAAGATGTCAATGATAACATCTTCGGGAAGTGACGTAATCAGGGACGATGATTGCTCCTTCTCTGCCCTAATTTTTAAAGACATGTGTAGATTTAGGCGAGGAAAGCGCAAAACCCTAATTACAGGCTCAAATTAACGATCACTGCGAGAGAGAGCGAATCCCTAATTTCAATAAGATTCCTCTGAAGTTAGAACATGCAAGAGTAATCCAACCTAATTCCAATAAAATAATAGATCTATGATCGAATGAAGGGATTTGCTCGCCAAAGGTTTTGGTTGTCACAATAAATCTAGGTGTTTCCCAATTTTGGTTTGATTTTGTAATTCTTGGTTTTTTTATTGTAAACCCAGGCGATTCCCGGTTTGGGACGAATTAATATAATATAATATGTTATTAATAATAATAAACAATCATATCAATAAATCTAGGTGTATCACTTGTGCTGGATACAAAGCCGGTGTTTCACAACCTCCTTAGTTTATCTTTTAAGAGTATACCAACGAAAGAGGCTGGCAAGTGATTTCTCCTTAACAGTTATGTGAGCTTGGTATTCTCTGTAATGATTTCTTTCCAAAAATTATGAATCTTAAGTTATAAAAATTTATAATTTGTAAAAAACGTTAAGAATATTTTTTAAAAAGCACATTATATTTATAAAAACCAATAACAAAAATATATAATTTTTTAAACATTGTAAATCTTAAATTATTAGAACTTATAATTAGAGAAAAAATTTTAACAGCAATTTTTTTTAAGAAACATATTGTATTTCTAAAATACAATAACAAAAATTATATAATATTAAAAATTGTGAATCTAAAGTTATAAAAACTTATAATTTGCTAAAAAAACGTTAATAATGTGTTTTTTTAAGACAACGTATACATTATCTTTCTAAAAACCAATTAAAAAAAATTATATGTAAATCTAATAAGGATAAAATGTACGTATTAAAAGAGAAATATAACAGAGTCGGTGATTTTGAAATTAAAATGTACAGTCGACTTCACAAAATAATAGCTCCATCACTGTCTCTCCCGTGAATGGCGGTGATTAAAAAATACAACTTCCGTTTGTATTTGGTTCGACCAAGCACAAGTTTTTTATCCGAGTCTCAATGCTTCTTTCATCGGCCGCTATATTTTACTTAGTTTCGGTGAAAACTCTGTTTTTACAACTCACTCACTGAGAAAATTGCAGAGCCTTGGTGTACAAATCTACATTCCGAAAATATTGTACCAGGTCGCATTACTTAGCATAGGAGACTGTCGTAAGACCAAGTTGTCGTAAGACCAAGTCCAACGCAAGGTTTAATAGGAGTTCAGCGCGGAGTTTATAGTATTATTTGGGTTTTATTTAATTAGAAAAGCCCATATAAGTCTTGAACCGGTTTTAATATAAGAGTTTTTAGAACCCATTTTTGGAGAGGTTCAAGCGACGTGACATCTTGTAATTGGAGGAAAGAAATTTCTTTTTCTGCAGTCTCTTCCACTTTTTCTCGCCTAGAGATTTCGCGGCTTTGCCTCCGTTCTTCCTCGAGTCTCTGTTACTTCTCCAGTAATGTTTCATTTGATTCTCACCGCTCTCTAGAATTTAGACTTGTGGATTCGCTCCGGCCGACGATCTTGGTATCTCTGCGACCGGCAAATAGCCGTTCCTCGTCACTATGACTGATTCTATCTCCGACGAGAGGCGCTCTCTGTATGCCACATACAGACAATTTCCGCAAAGGAAGTGAAAGATGTCCCGATGCCGAAGATAGATAAGAGCGGCCGATTAAGCAGCACTCGAGCCGCCCGCGAAAACTCGCTCTGTATGCTTTGATTTTCTCTCTATCTGGTTCCTTTCATGCTCGTTTTTGAAGTCGTATTCGCTTCGTTGGTTTATATGGAACTGAAAATTTAGCTGGAAATGAGAATTTGCCTTTACTTGAAATTGGAATAATCCGATCATCTTTGCAGTTTGGTAGGACACGAATTAGGCTCAGATTAAAGAATTGCATGAGTTTGGGTTTAATACTGGGAAAGTTTGAGAACTCCATTACAGGTTCAGGGTTGGAAGTATAAAAAATGGACAAATTGTTAACTTTTCAACTTACAAAAAATATTAGTAAAAAATCGATGAAAACCCATTAGGAGGTTCAGGGTTGAACATGCTCTAATGTTTGATGATTATCTATGCTTGTTTTGCAAGAAACATCTGATTAAATCTAATTGAATCTCAAAATCGGAAACCTCCTTTATTTTTTTAGCCATGTTTTTTTTGGATTATTTTTTAAGAAGTTCCAAATATTACCTATATACAAAAAATTTATCTACAATTTGGTTGGTTCTTCACCCAATATCCAAAAGTGATAAGGAATTTCCTTTTTTTTGTTCCCAAAATTTTTATTTTTCTTTTATTAATAAAACAGAGAAAAGAATTACAAAATAAAATAAAAAAAATTACAAAAGATAAGAGGAAATCGAAGAAAAAGAAAAGGTCACAAAAAGGGTCTCGTCTTATAAGTTATATCTCTCGATCGAACACCAAAGCAAGCTTTTTCTTCGATCTTACCTGTCGTTGCCTTGGCATCATCCTGGATTATTATCTTTTTAAATTTAGAGGAATCTCTGTCTTGGTACTTGTTGATTTGAGCCTACAATTAGCTAGGGTTTTGCGTTTCTCTCGCCAAAATCTACACATGTCTTTTGAAATTAGGGCAAAGAAGAAGCAATCGTCGTCTCTGATTACGTCACTTCCCGAAGACGTCATCATTGACATCTTAGCGCGTGTTCCCAGAGGCGACTATCCAAAACTCTCCCTGGTCTCGAAACACTTCCGATCCCTCGTTGAATCCTCTGAGATATACGCGAGACGATCCTTGTTAGGCTGCACCGAACATTGTCTCTATGCTGTCATCTTTAACGAAGAAACATGGGATTACGAATGGTATATTCTCCGCCGGAAAGTCAACGGCAATCGCCACTTGGTCCCTATCCCTTCGCTTCCCGATATTCCTCGGGGTGTCAGCTTTGTTCGGGTGGGTTCGAAGATATATGTGTTTGGTGGGTCTGATCAGAACTATATTGCGTTAAGCATCGATTGCAGATCTCACACGATGCAAACCCTCCCCAGCATGCCTATGCCCATCTCTTATACAATCGCTAACATCATCGACGGGAGAATCTACGTAATTGGAAATTTTGACTTCTTGAAGGTGATGGTGGTGTTCAATACAGCAACACAAATGTGGGAGCCTGAGATTATAAAGGTAGACATTGAGCTAGGTAACACGTGGCGTGGTTCTGTGGTGATGGCTGAAAAGATGTACACGAGGGATTATGGTTACAGCTTTGTTTACGACCCAAAGAAGAGTAAATGGGATAAGGACGAGGTGTTGAATTCTAAGAAGTGGAAGCATGCGTGTGTAGTTGATGACGTATTGTACTACTACGATGGGGAGGAGAACGAGATAAGAGCGTATGATCCAAAGCAAAAGTATTGGAGAGTTGTGAAAGGTTTGGAAGAGTTTTTGCCTGAGACGGCAAGATATTCAAGGTGGTCAAATACTGTGGATTACGATGGGAAACTGGTTTTGTTTCTCACTAAATGTGAAGAAAAAACATGTGAGATTAGGTGTGCGGAGATTTCGCTGGAAAGACATCAAAGAAAAGAGATTTGGGGTAAAGTTGCGTGGTTTGATCAAGTTTTGACTTCTGGGAATTTGAGTCTTGTGAAACCTCTAGCTGTAATGGTTTGATGCATGAACTCTCCTTCATATAACTTGTGTTTCGGTTTTTCATTGTTTTAAAATATTTTTCTGCTGATTTCGTTTATGTAAATGAAAATAACTGATTTGAGAAAAAATTAATAATAGCGTATATGAAAACACAAGTACTTCACCTTAGATTTTTTTTATTCGGTTCTTTGATTCCGTATGTTCTTTATTCGTTTTATGTTCGTCATTGATTGAGAGGGTGATCAACTAAAAAAAATTGTTGCTGTTTTTTTTTTAAATTAGAAAATGCATGTGCCACCTACAATTTCATGCAAGAAGATATATGTAATGGAGAGATATGTAAACTAAGGATTTGATACTAAAAATAAAAACAAAAAAACTTGTTCAGATGGTGACGTTACCACACTTAGGTTGAACAAAAATTTTTTGTTTTACCGATTAGGTTCTTGATGAAATATACAGCCTAAGCCCTAATTGACAGTGATATCGCCCAAAGTTTGTGTAACCATCGACTCTCTCTTCAATGTCCCGTCTCTTCACGGCTTTATTGTGATTAATTCTCTCTGGCTCTGTTTTGATCCATCTCCCCCAAAAGGTAAAAATTGGCCTAGCATGTATGGTCTCCACTAAACACAATTTTAAACATATCTTAGCATGTATGAGCTCCACTAAAAACAATTAGAACATATATGTAATTTACCAATTCCGGTTTGATTTTGTAATTCTTGGTTTTTCTATTGTAAACCCAATCGATCTCGGGTTTGGGACGAATTAATATAATATAAATATCAATACATCTAGGTGTATCACTTGTGCTGGATACAATGCCGGTGTTTCACAACCTCCTTAGTTTATCTTTTAAGAGTATACCAACGAAAGAGGCTGGCAAGTGGTACCATTTAATTCTCCAAACCTAGAAACTTTAGTCAATCCCATAAGCTAAATTTCAATTTAGTGCTGATCCACAGCTGTTTTCTTTTCGTTTGCTATAATATTGTACATGAATGTCCTTATGCTTTCTGTATCTTTCTTGATCTTTCTGGATCTTTTGTTATTGAGGAGCTTGTAGAGAGTTTCATTTGAAATGTCTTAACAAATTGTAAAGGTTAGTGTTGAAGTGAGTCTCCAAGAAGACAACAATGCTAAAGCTAAAATATACCTGAGAATCACCAATGCTCTTATGAAGCTTCCCGGAGCTTCATCAAACTGTCAGATTCATTTCTTCTTGATTTCTCTTTACCTCCTTTTAACTGCCAAACCTTGTTTATTTAATTGCTGCAAAACACTAGTATCAAGCTCTAAAATAGTATCAAACACACTAGTATCCATATCAAGTTATAATGTCCCCAAAATTTCTTATTTCAACAATTCCCACAAAAAAAAATAATCATCGCAATCTGATTGGTCCGGCACTGAATAGACGGATCATCTGAAACATAAGTGCGGTTCATCATTCATCATGAGACTAGCTATTCGTTTATCAAGTCTGCGAATAAGCGGATTGGTTCTTTATCTTATGATTATCCCAAAAATTTGTTGCTGATGTATTCACCAATGCTTTTTGATCGGGTTCATTTAAATCGTTTTTTGTCTGTATCTTCTTCATACACCTACTTGAATGGGAATATTGGATAAACGAAATCATAGAAAACGAATTCTTCCGCTGAATAAGGAAATACAAATATCACAGAAAACAAAAAATTAAAGAAACACGTTTGTTTTCACATTCCTTTAGACCTCTGTCTTGTATACATGTGTGCAACTGCAATTTAATTAATTACGTTCTTTTTCCCCCGCTTAACACTGACATTACTTATTGCTCAAGTTTTGTAATGTTTTTTCATGGTTTCTCTGTATTAGATACTTTTCGTGTTTGTATGCATATATACTTCATTTTGAGACAATGTAACGAGTGAAAAAAATGAGAATTTCTCTTGAATTGATCAGTAAATATTAAAAGCAATACATATAATATACGGTTCCAATGGGCACGCTAATAGAAGATATGAATATACAGTATCTAATTTACAATATATTTGAACCGAGTTATTTCTAATTATGTTGACTAAGAACGAGATTATTCCAAAAAAAATTATTCGAACTTATCATTTAGTGAACAATAATGTTACGATTACGATGAATGTGAATATGTTATTGTCATTTTTGTTTAGTTGTTGTTGGTGAAAGATGAATGTGATTGTCATCAATTGGTATAGACGGGAATGGACAAATACTAAATCAGACGTAAGTCTTAACTTTGGAATATCATCAACTTTCTTATATATAAAACTAAATGAAAATTCATGAAAGAAATATAACTACAAAAACCCTACCAACGATGACTACTTTTTCCGATTTTTTGTAACAATTTTTTAAAAAAAACTAAACTATCTACTCGTTTATTTTCTTCACTTCTTTAATTTTACAACTATGAACAGGGAATAGGCGACTCCAGTCTAAGATGAATCTTAGACATCAAAACTATCCTATACAGAAGATTTCCACCCCAACAAGTTACCATCATTTTAAGTTTAAACAATAACGCCATGAATGCTGCTTTGATTTCAGCAAAAGTTTGATTAATTTGGTCAACGAAAATTGGAGATTAAAACAATTGAATCAACACAATTAGAAATTTTTGGAATGATAAAAATTGTAACTTTTTTTGGCTGAAACTTAAAGATTTTTTTAGCAGTTTTTTCGAAATAAATTGACTACAGAAGATTCATTTCTATCTCAACAAGTTACCACCATTTTAAGTTTTAACAAGAAAACCATTAATGGAAATACATTCACCGCTTTAATCTCTTCCTCCTAAGAATTAATTTCCCTAAACACTCTACAAGCAATTTCAAAATTTAACAGATATGAATATTCATTGCTCGCTTCAATAACCAGAAAAAAAAAAAAACAAAACAGAAAAATCACATTCCATCAAAAATAGCAAGTACTCATAAACCGTCTAGACTACAAGGAAGAAACAAAAACAAAAACGTCGGACACGTGTCAAAATAGAGTGAGAACAGGACAAACGTCAGACGCAAACGGAGCTGGACAGGGTTTTACGTATTTGTAAAACTCCTTTTATACCCTCGATCATCACGCACAACAGATTTCAAAAGTAAGGGTAATATAGTCATTTAAAGTATCTTCAAATATGCCCGGGGATCATGGACGCTTTATATTCTCAGCAAAGACATCTAATCTATAACTGAATCACACAAACAGAGTCTCCCAAAAAAAAAAAAAAATCAATTCACAGAAACGCTTTCTCTCTCTGATTTATCGGAGGAGAGAAAAATATCTTCTCAGATCGGAGAGAAGAAGAAGAAAAAGAGCAAATCCCGATCGATCTCGGAGAGAGGAAGAAGATAATCATCAATTTCAATGGCGGCTGCGTCGAATGGGAGTGAGTATTTCGAATTCGACATGGAAGCTGGTAGAGATTCGTTCGCGCGGCCGTCGAACGCCGAGACATTGGAGCAAGACGAAGAAGATCTCCGGTGGGCGGCGATCGGGAGGTTACCGTCGCAGAGACAAGGGAGCCATTTAGCGATTCTCCGTCGATCGCAAACGCAGACGCAGACTTCCGGTTACGCCGACGGAAACGTTGTGCAGACGATTGATGTGAGGAAGCTGGACCGCTCTGATCGCGAGATGGTGGTTCGTCAAGCTTTAGCGACTAGCGATCAGGATAATTTCAAGCTTCTCTCCGCCATCAAGGAACGTCTCGATAGGTGCGTCTCTGTTTCTATTTTTTCCGGTTTTTTTAATTTTTTTTTATATATATGATAATATGAATCATAATGTAAAAAATATTCTGGTTTTTTTTATTGCAGAGTTGGAATGGAAGTTCCGAAAATCGAAGTCCGGTTCGAGAATTTGAATGTTGAAGCTGATGTTCAAGCTGGTACAAGAGCCTTACCGACTTTGGTTAATGTCTCTCGTGATTTCATTGAGGTATATATATGTCTTCTTTCTTCTTACTATATATTATATTCCATACAAATCTTTATAACTCTTGCTTCTTCTCTCTGTTTGCAGCGTCTTTTAAGCAGCTTGAGAATAATGAAGACTAGAAAACATAAGCTAACGATTTTGAAAGATATTAGTGGGATTATCAAACCAGGAAGGTGAATAAAAAGACTTTGTGAGATTATAAGACTAAGCACAATATGTATATATATAGTCACAAATCACTAACAGTTGCTATGTTTTTGTTGATTTCTCGAAGGATGACTTTGCTATTAGGACCACCGGGTTCTGGAAAATCGACATTACTTCTTGCTCTCGCAGGAAAACTTGATAAAAGTTTAAAGGTTAGTTATCACGTGAAGTTATCTACTATGTCTCATATATATCACATGCATCGTATGTTTGATATATCTTCTTTTTAGTTTGATAAAGTCACATGTGTCTTTAAAAGATTTGTCATTTGATCTTCTTAGATTCTCTCTTTTTTTTTTTGGTATTTATGATAAACCTTAACTCTTGTTTTTTACAGAAAACGGGTAACATCACTTACAACGGAGAGAATCTTGATGAGTTCCATGTCAAAAGGACTTCAGCATATATTAGTCAAACGGATAATCACATTGCTGAACTCACTGTACGTGAAACGCTTGATTTTGCTGCGAGATGTCAGGGAGCAAGCGAAGGATTTGCAGGTTATTTTAACTTGATGTTACCACTTACTAGATTTTAACTTCTTCACGTTAAATGTTCACAAATATTTGATGTTATATAATTGTAGGTTACATGAAAGATCTCACTCGTTTAGAGAAAGAGAGGGGTGTACGTCCTTCTTCCGAGATTGATGCTTTTATGAAGGTCAGCATCATATTACATATAGCTCCTCTTACTTCCTTAAATTTGGTTACTTTTATTGTGTCTGATTTATTTATTAGTTATGATAACCAACATTATTATTATTATTTTATAGGCTGCTTCTGTCAGTGGTGAAAAGCATAGTGTTTCAACAGACTATGTGCTTAGAGTGCTTGGTCTTGACGTATGTTCTG